GGATTATATAATAGTAAAAGTAAATATAAATAGTTGGTTACACATGCCCCAAACCATAATCTTATTTATTATTATTACTATACTTGCTGATAAATTCGTATATTGGGGTTAGCCCTTATATCAACTCTCAATCTCATATCTTCTCTTTTTCGTTTTTGTGTCAATTTTCATTCATTGATTACTGTGTAAACATTTTTTCATTTATGATAAAACGGAAATAGCGAACAAAATAAAATTCATCGCTATTTCTTTGTATTTATGAAGAAAGTTTCACGATCCTTTTTAATCAATTATCAATGTTCTTATCTCTATATAAAGCCTAAAAATATCTTTTTTTTTATACATTCCATTTCCATTCTTTTTACTTAAAATATCAATCTAGTAAGAAAATTTACTGATACTGCGAGATTTTGCAACTTCGTTATAATTACTTCATCAAAAATTATAACTAAATTCCATTCCACATAAATCAAGTTTTATTTTTAAAAGTATCTACACATTCATTTCTAAACAAATCCTTCCCTAAATACTCGCATCATCACCATCATCACCATCATCATCATCATTATCATTCTCCTTTAAAATATTTCTTGTCGCCCTATTATTCCTTACTATCAATGTAGCTGCCAATGGTCGTATGATATTACCAGAAATCCGGCTTAAAAGAATGATGTTTAAAATAGCTTTCAGAATGCACGCTCACCAGCAAAACATTATCCTTGTGGGAACAAGTTAGGTCCTGGAAAAGTTTTAACAACATATACTACTAATCGAGTCGTAAACGTTCAATGGGAAATTACAGAACCTTTGGGAGGCACTTGTTTTGTCGATTTGTCAACAACTGGAAAAGATAATGCCTTTAAAACCATTAGAACTATTCCTAATTGTGCAGATAAAATCGGTGAAAACTTTCAAGCCGATGTACAATTTCCTAAAAATACTACTTGCGAAATTTGCACGCTTCGTTTTAGATGGGTTTCAAGTTCATTTAAGGAAGTTTATTTAAATTGTGCCGATATTTCTATCTTACCGACCAACAAAAATGGACTCAAGATGAAAAAAAGAAACAGATGTCATATTAATATGTGTGAATAGATAGTACTACCAGCTGGCCTGTAATACATACGCACACATTCACACTTACAATTTTATATTCATATTTATATTTATTCGATTCCTTAATTTTAATAATAATACCACCATCTGAAAGTTTTTTCATCAACTGGAATTTATTTAAGTTCTTGGCCGGCTAAGGTTTTTCTACCAGCCAATATCACTAATAATTACATGATGTCAAAATAGTCGAAATTATGTCATATCACATGATTTGTTTTTTCAAATTATTTATCTTGAGAACGACTCATTAGAATGACCTCATAAAGACAATTTAATAATGGCAATTTAATGTTCATAACATCAATAAATTGTAAGATATAAGGTAAACCAAAACATCTCAATGATCTGTGTTTTGTATGAATTACATCTCATTAGATTCACCTCATCGAAAAAATTCGAATGGTAGTTGTTTTATCCAAAACAACCGGATATTGACTGAGCTATGACAATTTGAAACCTTTGATTAATTTTCCTGTATATTCAGCCTGTTGCATGATGTAATTTGACCAGTTCGACTTTTGGGTTTTAATTTCGGTTTCATGTATAATAGTTACAACAAAGTTTTAAAAATTAAAACTAAAACTTCAGCTTTATTATATACAAGTCAAAGCTCATTAGTTGAAATACTTTTACAGTTAATCTTGCTATAACTAACGAACTTTTTTGTTTCCCCAATTCATTTTTTTTATAATATTTTTATGATGAACTATTTTATTGTTCATCACAGAGAACTCTTGCATTACAATAGAAAAAAAGAAAGTATTACATATAGAACTGAGGGGTTTGGTTCAATTATATGAGCAGTTTAAAATCGATTTATTAATAATTTGGGCAGCATTCACAAATTTATTTTACAATGAACAATTTGTTCTAAATTTATTTAAAATTTTTAAAATTGACTCAATTTACACATCGTCCATATTATAGAACATGTATAGGCACAAAAATAAAAATATAAACAAGTGCAGTGGAGTCAAAGAAGAATATATATAAACATGTAAAATATGCCAAAATATGAAAAAATGCAAATTATGTAAAAATGATATCAATCTAGTTTGAAAGTGTATATCTAAATTGTATGCATGAATGTATATGTATGTATATGTGTATATAATGATATACTATCTATTTACACCCATGACATCTTTTTCTTTTTCTCATCTTGGGTGCACTTTTTTTGTTGTGCGGTGGTAATATAGAAATGTCGGCACAATTTAAATAAATTTCCCTTGATAAATGCGGAATCCACCTAAAGCGAAGTGTGCAATGTTCGCAAGATGTATATTCAGGAAGTTGTACATCAACTTGAAAGTTGGCAACCTGGTCCGCACAATTTGGCATTATATGAATGTTTTGAAAGGCACTATCTTTTCCGTTTGTTGACAAATCGATAAAACAAGTACCATCCAAAGGATTCTCAATACCCCATTGAACCTTTATGGTTTCATTGGTAGTATATGTCGTTAAAACTTTGCCAGGTTCATCATCAGTTCCACAAGGATAATGTTTTGCTGGTAAGCTCGCATTCTGGGTATTTCGGATTTCTGGCAATATCATACGACCATCAGCGGCTACATTGATAGTGAGGAAGAATAGAACTACAACGAGTATTTTCATGGTTGTGAAGAAAAATGACGACAATGATGACGATTTTGAGGATTTATTTGAAAATGAATGTATAGATAATGTAGACATACTTTAAATAATAAAAATTTGTTATATGAAATGGAATATTATTTATAATTTTTGATGAGGTGATTTTAATGAAAGTCTTTATATCAAAGTACGTTACAGTATCGGTAAGATTTCTACTAGAATGATATTTTAAGTGAAAAGAGTGAATTGGTATGTGGAAAAAAAAAAGGCTTTTATATAGAGATACGAAGATTGATATTCCTATAATTGACTAAAACAATAACCAATTAATTGAATTCGTGAAACATTCATTGTAGTATAAAAATGTATTTTTTAGCAAACAGGGTTTTTAAGTAAGTAAGTAATAAAACTTTGCGGTACAATGTATCAATGATTGTGTGAGACAAATCATCCTAATTAAGAGAAAACAATTAATTTACAATTAATTGTTTTTGACTGATAATTTCCTTAATGCACATAGAAAAACATAAATGAAATTCTGAACGTGGCTGAAAATGGAAAGGAAAGAAAGATGCTTTTATTTAATTAATTTTAAAAGCTGTCTGATTGTTTTACACTTTTAGATTATAACGAGAAAATAAATCTAGATTTTAAATATAAATAGGAAGTACATATCAGATATATTAATTTTGAGATAAAAAAGGTTGGTTAATTTAAATTTATTATTATATGGCAAATTATTTAATAATCGTCTTTCGTCAAATCTTCAAATCTAATGTTATTTTAGTAACAAACATTACCCCAATCAGAAAATCATTTTACAAATGCAAAAAAATATATCTGTCGAAAAGAAAAAAAATATTAATTGCAATCTATTTAATAAGCATTCGGTTATTGGTGTTTCCTCTAGCGCTAATTAAAAAGATCATCAATAAATTAAATTTTTTGGCCTTTCTTCCATATTTGGTTATATTAACATTATTTATTGTTATGCATATTAGTATAGATAGGATTTGGTGGTACAAATTCATTCCCCATTGGATAATGTTTACCAATCATTTCTATGTATGGCATGTTAATAACCTATTCACTAACCTGCTAAAGTGTTCTTTGTTGAAATATTATGGAGTGGGGTGAAATTCTGATTGGCTAATTTGAATTTCACATAAATTTGAGAAATTATTAAAAAATAAATCTGGTTGGGTAACACGCTCGCCGATATAATAGTCAATTATTTCACGCTCCAATCAGAAGTCTGACACTGCTTTGTATAATTACAACAAAGACAAGGTATCCTAATAAAAAGAGGTAAAATGAAAAGATTCGATAATAATCACAGAAATGTATGTCCTAATAGACATGTGAAAGATTTTAACAAGTAAAAATGACTGTACAAAAAGCTGATTTATAAAAAAAGAAAACAAGGTTCTAACCAAATCTGGTAATTAGTTGCAGATATTTTCTAAAATTAGACTATAGCTTATTTTAAGGCGCAGTCGAATTTCATATTACAAAGAAATATTAATACTAATATTAATATACTAATGGGATAATGTCGCTGCTACTGCGGAATTTCCAGAGAAATTTTTTCCAAGACAATTTTTATTCTGGATCATTCATTATATAACCATGTAATAATATCACATTTGTAAATTTACAATAATTTTTGCCTTGTGGCTATGTTCACAAGCTCCACGTTCTTTTTTAAGTGAATAATTTGACTCTAAATCAATGGCATAATTAAAGACTCGGAAAACTTAAGCGACCGCTAAACTTATGATTAAAATTGTTTAAAATAGGGGTTTGTGTTAATGAAAAGGATCACAGTCAACCCTACAAAGATGAATCTAAGGAAAAATTACAGAAATTAATGTTTCGTAATGAATTTCAAAAAAATGTATTCAGTGTACTACGAAAAAAAATCAATACTTAATATTAATGAAAATTATATCCGAGAATCAAAAACATGTGAAATGTTTGAGTAGATTTTAAAAATTCCACGTCAAATTTTTTTTTTCAAAAATAATCGAATTTTTAATTGATAAATATAGAAAATCTGAAGGCGTTGGACTTTATGTGCACAATTTTTCAGGATTTGAAATATAATTTTTGTATGATTGTTATGTAGGTTTTTTGCAATTAATATATTTTAATTCTTGGTAGATACTCAATAATTTAGTGCGATTTCTAAATTAGCTTTACAAAACATTGGCAAGAATATTTCATGTCGAATTTTTTTATTTAATAAAGTAATTGATAAATGTATAAAGAAGCTATATTCCTTTATTTAATTATCTTGCGTAATCCAATTTTTTATCAAAATAAGCGATTAGCGTCAACTGTATACACATCTCGAATCCGAATTTTTTTAATTTAAAGAACAAAATGTCAATAATAAAAACCCTAAAAGAATTAAAAGAATCTCGTATAGTATTAAAAACTTTTTATAATCTTTTTCTTGTCGTCACTGAATAAAAATTTTAACATTTTGCAAATACATATGTAACCTTAACTGAAAGTTATATTTATATCAGTACTCCATGGCTGTTAATGTAAAGGGTGTATTAAGGCATGGTATTAGCCAAAAAAAAATTTTTAATTGCTCATATGGGTTGAAGAGTTATCAAGAAGTTGACGTCCTAAATTTTTGGTCGAAAAATTTTTTTTATTTGTTATTTTCTTAGACATCATAGAAACTTGAAATTTTACATGAGAACCTAAGCTACAATATTATATTTTTATTATGTATGTTTTTGTGAAATTATTTGATTTGTAGTAACCGATACTTTTGTCTAGAGAGTGTTATTTCAAATGCTTACTATAGAAATAACAGATTCCTCTTCACTCATTTCCTCTTCCTCAACATTTTCTTCAAATTGCAAGACGCCTTTTGAGATGAGAATATCTTCAAACAATATTTTCAGAATTCTTCAGCTGTCATTGTGTGATTGATATTAATTTTCCCAAGACCAGAACTAATTCTTTAAGAACATCATTTGGTGTGGTAAGATCTTTATTTTTTTCCAAGAATTTTTTATTGTTTCTTTTTTAACAACATCCCGAGCTTCTCCGATAATGTCAATTGCTCGTTTCCTTCATCTAAATCTTTAATCCATCTTGATACTAGTATATTCCGATAATTGATCTTAAAATTATGAATGATTCCAGCATCAAAAGGTTGAATATGTGATGATATACTACCTGTAAATTTTTAAGACCAAGGTATGAACCATCAGCACGAGCAGGTTAATTAACAAATTTTGATTTTTTCTTTGATTTGGAATCGAATTATTTCAACTAATCATTCCATAACACCATTGTCATCTTCCTGCTATTTCAATATCTTACAGGTAATGTTTTAATACTACGGTGCAGATCATCTATAATCATTAATTGCTTATAGTAACAATTGGTCAACTTCAAAATACTAAAACAAAAAAAATTATATCATTTTAAAAAATTTAACCGATAAGTTTTATTGTTCATGACTCAAGCTTCAAAACTTATCGGCTGATTTTTTCTTAAACTGAAAATTGGCAGAGCCTTAGCATTTTGAAAATTCCGAATTTTGTTTATACACTTGAGAAATTGAGACCAAGTAAATTTCGTGTAACAACTTTTTTTATATATATAGAATATTCTCTACAACATACATTTGATTTATTTGATTTATTTATTTCCTATAAATAAAAGATCTTTACAACAAAAAAGTTTAACAAACATATTAATTATATTTATTTTTTGTGTGTATATTTTACATCCAAATTTCAAAATGAAAAGAAAAATCAAAAGACATAATTGTGAGAAGTTATTACCATTATATAATATCATTATTATAATATAAATAATCAAATTAATCTAAATATTTATATCCATATCCATTTGATGAGAAACTATAATTTATAACATCATAATGTTAATATTGATACTAAATTTTAAAATTAATGATTGAATAATTAATGATAATTACCATTATTATTACTAATAATTGTTACTTTACTGGAATTCACAGGTTGGGGAAGATTTGTAAAATTTAATAATCTACTAGTATAAATTGCATTTGAATGAATTACTGCGGTAATTGTTGAAGGATCAAATTTTATTTCATCCATTTTCTCAAATTCTTTTTCAATTGATACTGATTCATATTGCCAATCATAAATAATCTCATAAATTTCTCTAGCAGTTGGGCGTTCATCTGGATTGGCATCCATGCATTTGAATGCTAGTTCAATATAAAATTTTGATGTATTGTTTGAGAATCCAGGTCTTGCACCTTTACATATTTCCATTGCAAGATATTCATCATGTGCCAAATTATTAA